TATGTATTCTACCTATACGTTCTATAATGTATAACGTACATTCTATAATGTATTGCCTCCTATATATATATATATATATCTCCTCTCTCTCTCTCTCTCTCTATATATATATATATATATATTCTACCCGTTTTATGTTCTCCACAAACCCATTTAATGTTACTTGAGAAACACCAAAACACACTTATATTATAGACCCCATTTTTGTTACACACACACACAAGCTGCTACTATGAAATCTATGCATCCAAGACAGACAAAAAAGACTATTAGGAAAGCAGTAGTTCCCACGGTTCTGAAATAGGAGGACTAGCCTTAACTAAGTAGCTTAACGTGGAAATAACTTTGACAAGCAAAAGAAGGAAGCAAATAGACATGTCTACATTATAAACGAGATTTAACGAACATTTCTGTTCCCGAATGGGCTACATTCCAGAGTTGGGGAAGGGCAAAGGATGAATCCATCCCCGTTTCTTTGGCTTAATTTCCCATCTGCTTTTCTGATTTTCTAGATTAACCTTAGGGGTACGTAGTAGGTCCTGAGTATCTACATTTGCTGTCATTTGATCCCTGGAAGGAGCGTGCACTTCAGAAGCACAGAGCAGAGCAAAGGGCCTGCCGGACAAGCAGTCGGAGTGTGTGAATCAACAGATGCAGCTCACAGAACCTCGCCTCCCCTGACCTCCGTGGTGTTCTGTAAGACGTTCCCATTTTACTAACCATTTCATTTGCAATCGTTTCATGTTGACATTTGGGGTGTGGTTTATTCTGCTCCCCACTCTACAGCCACTTCTTTCCACAAATATGTGCTGGGGGCAGGGGAAACAGCCTTTTAAGCCACCATAGAGAAATGAAAAAGGGCAGGTCACCGCCAATGGCCCATGCCTGCGGCAATCCTTACGAAGGATGGTTCCAGTAACCACCATGATGACCTTCGTGAGCCTCTGGATTCTAAGCTCATGCCCTTGGAACACAACACTGTGCTGACGTTCAGTGCCTGTAGGCTGGAGATCACCTCTGGCTTCCTGGGGTGCACAGGGTGGCACTGGAACCCCCAGAAAATGAAAGCTGAAGCATTCCCCCAGGATGAGCCCCAGAGAGCCCAAAAGGCACAGGATGTCCAATAACACAAATGAGATCTGGAAAAATGACACCCGCCTCCCCACACAGGTGCTCTTTAGCACTGCAGTAGTAACAAGCAGGGCAAGAAGTTGGGTTTTGGAGAGTAATAAAATTCCTCTGGTATCTTCTGCCTTCCCCCCTCCCCGCCCCCCCCCGCCCCCGGATACTTCCCATGTATTTACCCCCTGTCTGATACACACTCTTTATATTTCTTTGTTTTATCTCTTATCAATTCTCAGTGACCAATGTTCTTCTACCTTCACAAAAGGAATTTTTTTCTAATACTTTTCCTCTTTTCCTTTCCCACATTCCAGTATGCTCCAGTATAGTCCATTCAAAACACAAGTTCCAGCGACCCTGGGAGATTGGGGTGAAGAAGGACTGGCCACGCAAGCTGTAAGCCCTCTGCGGTCCTAGGCCAAAAAGGTGTGGTGCACAACATTGTTTTAGGGAAGACCCGCCATGCCTGCCAGCATGATGGCCAGACCTCTCGACCTCCGTTTAATTACCTCTTGAGAGGAAACTCAAATCATAATGGATGCTGAGTATGTCCTATGCAATTGGAAAGGCCATTTTTGGCCAGCAAAGGTTTTGTCCAGATCTAGGATCTCACCGAAAAATAAGAGGAAAGGGGCACTTTCTCTGAAAGTGGAAATACTCTCCGTAGATGAAAAAATTAAAGTGAAAAGCACAGACATAAAGATCCTAAATGAGTCTCAAACTGAATACATTACCTCCTTGCTAATAGCCGGGTCGAAGGCCAGTGTCCCGCCAGGACAGGAAGTGCCCTACAGAAACGCTCTTACAGTGGCCCTGGAGATTCTGAATGAGAGAGCAAATCTGGGTCCAGCAAGAGCATCCGATGATCCAGAGACCGTTAAGCCGTCCCCAAGGGGACCACAAAAGCGATCTCGTAGAAAGCACCGGAAGCCCAAAGGGAGCTTACTGAGGAGTCTTAGGAAAAGCAAAAAACTCAAATCGCTGCTGGTATGTTCACAGAGTGAGGACGCCCCAGACGGTGGCCGACCACAGGCACACAGAACCGTCGCTCCCATTCCAAGGAAAATGCAAGTGGAGTCCTCACAAAGCTCCAGCACGTACCCAAACTTCCCGTCACTTTCAGAAGGCGCTTACGAGAAAGAGGGCAAGGGAAAGAGGGACACCTCAAGAGTTAGGTCCTTGCGTTGCCCAGTCAAGGAGGAGGGCACAGGTGCTAAAGATGGAGGCGCCCTTCCATCTCTGCCACCGGGGTTCAACCGCACGGTACCCAAGGCGCTGAAAGAAGAGGCACAGGGCACCTACCCAAAGACCCTGGCCGTCTCCTCCGAATGCTCTGCCTTCTCCGGGAATGTCGAGGACCACGGAGAGGGTCCCCGGAAGCCAGGCTTGGAAGGTGTGGCAGCATCCTCCAGTGCCCCTAACCTGAAGCTGCGTTATTCACTCCGTCTGGCAAACAGAAAAAGGAAGCTGCAGGTACCAGAGTCCGAGAAAGGGCTGCGAGAACTTCAGCCTTCCGTCAACTCAAAGGCTATTAACCCCACCACTGCTATTAGAAAGGACGTCAGCAAGGAAATGGGACAACCGACAAGCATGGCTTTTCCACAGGAGCCTTGTCCCATTGAAGGAGGAATGATGGTCTGGTTCAAATTTCAGAATCACCCATTTTGGCCAGCGGTGGTAAAGAGTGTCAGCCAAACAGAGCAGACGGCAAGGGTGCTTTTGATTGAGGCAAACATGGACGGTGAAATGAGTGGCATTCGAGTTCCTCTTCGAAGATTAAAGCATCTGGACTGTAAAGAGAAAGAAAAACTGATGAAGAGAGCCGGGAAAGTGTACGAGCAAAGTGTGAACTGGTGTTTCTCCCTGATTTCCCACTACAGAGAAGGGCTGAGTCACGGGTCTTTTGGAGGCTCTTTCCTGGACTATTACGCTGCCGACATCAGTTACCCAATTAGGAAAGCCATCCAAGACGCGGATGTGGAGATTGATTTCCCAAAGGTGAATTATGCCGACCTGGAAGATTCTGAAGAGGAGGCCTCCCTGGGCGGGAAGAGGCCCTGCAAGAAAATTCTCCCTGACCGGATGAGGGCTGCTCGGGACCGAGCCAACCAGAAGCTCGTGGACTTCATCGTGAAAAAAAAGGGAGCTGATCACCATCTTCTGGACATTGTCAAAGGCAGGAAAGAGTCCAGGTGGCTGGCATCATTTCTGAATTCAAGCAGGTACGTCATCTGCATTGAAACGTACCTGGAGGAGGAAGACCAGTTGGATGTCGTGGTAAGACATTTGCAAGAAATCTACAAACAGATAGACAAGAAAACGCTGACTCTGACAAGGGACGACAAAGTGAGTTTTGTTCTGGAAGTTCTTCTGCCAGAAGCAATCATTTGTTCAATTGCTGCACTCGATGGATTAGGTTACAAGGAGGCAGAACAAAAGTACCTACAGGGGCCACCCGTGCGTTACCGGGAAAAAGAGCTATTTGATAAAAATATCCTAAAGGAAATGAGAAAGAGATCAGCAACAAGGGCCAAAGCCAAATAACTCCTCCTGTGCCCGCACTTTAGCAGGGAGACCCCTCACCGCCCTGTCTGTATGAAATGTGTGATCCTTCCCTTCTCTATGGCACGTAAATATGTTCTGTAAATTTGAGACCCCGGGAACACGCTGGATTCATTTTTGGAGCGATCTCTAGCACTTACGGGTAGCACGGCCATCATCACTGCTGGTTCCCAAATGCTTCACAAACTAATTTTGTTAAAATACTGCAAACAGTTGTACTTCCCTCTACTTGCTCGGATGCGTAGCTGTCCAGGTGTTTTCATAATGTTGCTTTTGACAGCACTTCATATTTTAATATAGGATGCGCGTTCTTTTCTTACATGAAAGACCCCTGGTGTCAGACCTTAAGCCACAATCGTTTCTTGAAATCTAAGATAGATGTTTACACAGAAACTTCACACGGATTTCTCATTCTTTTTGCGACCCCTCAGTATAAATGATTGGATTCCTTCTTGAGATGATTCCTGAATTCGATCTGCCATGCTTATTTGTTTGGGGAAAAATAGCCCTGAGGGGTGAAGCCAACAGCAGAGGTGTTTTCTATACACTGTCACTACCTTCAGATGGCTCTTGGAAAAGCAGTCTGGAATCCAAAGTTAATGGGTCGTCTGCATGCAGCCCACAAGTGGATGAGCGAAATCTCAACGTGCAGTAAACATTTTGTCAGCCTGTGCAAGACTGTTAACTCTTCGCTTCCCTAAGATTCCACTTAGGGAAGTAGCTCTTGTTCGGTGGCTAAGTGGTTTCCTAAAACAGACAGGCTCCCGGCTGTCTTCCTAACTGACTGGATGCTTTACACGTAGTGGTTTATCCCCATGTGGAAGACAACGAGAGTAATCATACACACAGTTTAGCTCTTTTAGACCTACGAATTCAAGCTCACTGCTAGGAGCCCATCTAAGTGACACAAATCGTAGGGAAGCCTGTGCTGTGTTCCGGACCTGTGTCCCCTAAAACACAGTCATTTGTCCCCTACCAAGCAAGCTTTCTCTTTTGACTTATTCATTGACTAGCCCTGACGGGTTCCAACAGTTATAATTGCAGGCTAGTGGGTCATTCCCGGCTGCTTGAGCAATAGATGGACGAGGACCTGGGAACTCAGCAATGGGCAACAGAAAATCCTCCATTTGGCTAAATATGGCTGTTGTCAGAATACAGTGAAACGTATCTAACTAAAAGTAATAAATTCTGAAGCCCATGAATCGTTCTCCTAACTTGAAACAAGATTTTTTTGAGGGGGAAAAAAAAAAATGTCAGGAAAGCTAGTTTACTTTTAAAACTTGTTGTGAAAATAAACACTAAAGGTGTAACATGAACCCAAGTGCATTTTTATTCTTAGAGGGAGTCAACTGTCACTCACAGGCCCATGTTATGTGTTCATGTGGCCATGAGATGTGTGTGTGTAAAATCTGTAAGCGTTAGCTGTTTTGATTCACAATAAAACCACTGCATCTTTCACCTTGAATTTCTGTTTCATCATACTTTAGACTGTACAACCACAGAGTTGGTGCCTCTAAATATGTATATGTATGTACATGCACATACATACGTGCGTGCGTGCGTGTGTGTGTGTGCGTACTATTTTGGGATTTCAGTGATTTAGTCATCATCTTTTAAAGTTAATTATGAATTTCCTTCTCATCCTAAACAAATACTCACTTTCATGCTTGTTTTCATCATTTTAGAAGAGGGCCTTCCAAACTGTGTAAGCTTCAGACCCATCAGAACCTTCTTTGGGCTCTGCCTGAGAGACACCAATGACTCCTGAGGCATTCTGCCTGGGCTAATCCACATGACCTCTTCATGGTCCTGAAAAGTACTTGGAAACACCCCGTCTCCATGCTCTATGTGGACCTTGTACACTGGAACAACACGTTTTAGGTCTTCCATAAACATCGCGTCTCTCCGAATCAAATACGTCACTCAACGTCAGCCTTCTCATATAGCCATATCTGGCTCTACATTCTACT